ATAGCGAAAGTGTATTCGAATTTGAGAGAGGCCGATCTTTACTCATCAGAGGGACGGACGAATAAAACGAGCACCTTCGAGACGGAGCTTTTGAAAAGTCGTTTATTAGAACTTGAGAAGGAAATAGACATATTTCGAAGGGAAAGCTCGGCCTTGCTGCTTCAGCGTCGAAAGCTACAGGAGGAGGAGACAATTTTACGTAAACAATATGCAGAGAAAGAGAAGAATTTCGAAGAGAATAGGAGAAGAGTGCAAAACCAATTGGAAGAGGAGAAGAAGAGAGTGGCGCGTGAGAAGGCAGCGATGGAAAGTAGGATTCGCGATGCTCAGGAGAAGGCGAGGCAAAGTAAAACCGATAGGCAAAAGGCGCAGGCTCTGCGAGAAGAATTGGAACAACTGAGAGACGAGCTGAACATCAAGGAGAGCAGGTGGAGCGCCGCTGAATCAAGGTACAAAAGCGAGCTTCGTGTGTTGCGAGTGGAAATTTCCAAGTTGAAGCAAGAAATCGCGAATTTGCAGAATATTAAAAAAACGAACGTTAGAAATCTTAGGAAAAACACCGGGCAAGTAATTACGAAGGCTATCAATCAAATCAACAGACGCGTCTACGTGGCTCCGTCCAAAGAACCCCCTCCGAAGATTTGTCAAGATTTGTCGGATACTTCGTCCGATACTTCCGTCCGTGACATTGACGACGAGGATGAGGACAAAAGTGGAAACAAGTCGATCGTGAAAGCAATTAATGTGAACGATGGCTTTGGACAAATAGAGGATGATGCATCCGTGAACAAAGTAAGGCATAAACAAGTTGAGATTGAATCGCAGCCTAAGGGCAATCAGAAACTCCCGGAAGGGAACGTTGTGGAAAAGAAGCGATATTTATACGAAAATTTATTGAAAGACGCAACATCGGATTTGATGGAGAATGAAAATCCGTCTTGTACAAAGCAGGGCATGTTGAACGATCCTCAGCCGATAATTACGCAAATGCAGAATGCAAAGAGCAATGATAGATCCCATTCCAGTTCTACGAACAAAGATTTCGAGCGTGCAGCTTACGTTGCGATTAATACGGAGCATTATGCTAACAGGTCACGCGAAGTAAATCAGGATTCGGATAAAAACGACGCGGAAATGGAAATGGAAAAGAGAAAAGGTCGAATGTCGCCTGAGAAGAATTTAAATTCTACGTTGCACGCCACCTCCTTTCACAGTCAGATTAGCAAGGCGAGTACGGACGCCGTGGAACAGATTCAGTTTCCCGACGGACGCATAGAATACTGGTATCCGAACGGCAATGTCAAGAAGATCTTTCCCGATCAAGAAGTTACAAAGATGATTTATTACAACGGGGACGTTCGCGAGACCGACAAGAATAGGAGAGTAAAATACTTTTATGCCGCGACTCGAACGTGGCACACAACAACTCCCGATGGCTTGGAGATCTTAGAATTTCCCGAGTATGTTTATTTCGTTATTGTTTCGCTATCGTCACGTTCGCTTCCAATCGCTTTGCTTCGTTTTATTCTCCAAATAATGCACAAATAACAATAAATAATAAACACCTAGGATATAAATGAAAGTAATGATAATTAAAAATATAGATAATGTATTGAATAATAAATTAAAAAATTATATACATATAGCGGTCAAGTGGAAAAGCGTATGCCCGATGGAACCGTCGAAGTGTTGTTCCCGGATGGGACGGTGGCGCAAACTTTTATCAACGGCGACAAGATTCTGACATTACCGAATGGCCAGAAAGAAATTCACACAAAAGAGCATAAGGTGAACAAATGTCTAACTTCTTATTTTGTATTTTAAATGTATTGCTCCAATTCGTCTAATATGTATGCTCCGGTTTTTTTTTTTATAGAATCATATAAACGTGCAAGTTCTTGAGTTAGCGTTATTCATTAAACGACATTTGAATGTTTCAGAGACGAGAATATCCTGATGGCACTGTAAAGCTAGTTTACACAGACGGTACCCAAGAAACTCGTTATTCTAGTGGAAGAAAACGATTGAAAGATAAAGATGGTAATCTCTTGATGGATTCGTACGATGTATAAGTCTTTCCAAGATTATTATTATTATTTTTTTTAATGAAACAATAGAAACGAAGATATATATATATGTAAGCGTAAAAGCATATACGATGTTATGTTAATTTATCTCGTAATTGTAAATAACGATTGATATTGTATAGTAATTATTTTTATAAGAATTTGAAACTTAATGCTGATCTTTTTCATTATAACAAGCGAATAAATAAAGACGGAGAGCTTTTCATAAATATGGAATATTCCGTTAAACTCCGCCAGCTAAAGTAACTTCTTGTTTTTTTTTTTTAATGAATATTACGCACCTTGTAAATTACTGATATACGACTTACGTCGCTAATTGTAAATTATTAATTTCTTAAAGAAAGTAATTTAGAAATGTCATATGAACGAATTCAACGAATATTTTTACGATACGATACAATAATCAGACACCGTCTCATTTAATGTTCATAATAATTTTGTTCTAAGTTATTAAAGTAATTACTACACTCTCCCTAATCACGGTAACTGTCTTATTTGGAGGAGGAGAACAGAATTAATCACCTCGTTTCTTGTATAAGTAATTAAAATACGATATAATTTAGCGTTCAAACATTTTCGCCCGCGTGGTACGTTCGATCGATCGAACACCTAATCGATCATCGCGATTACCGGTCACACCTTTCCGCGCAAAAATCATCGCGTTGTCAATAATCGATTTTTCGCGGGCAATAAACGCCGATGTGCCGGTGCCGCCGTCACCGTCATCGACACGTACATACCTCTCACATCTCTCTCGCTCTCTCTTTCTCCCCCCCCTCTCTCTCGCTGTCATCCACCACTATCCCGTTTGGGCAATCATGTGTCTCGTACGCACGTAGTAGCGCGCGTCGCTGTCACCGCTGTCACCGAACGTCGGCCAGTCGATCGCACGGGGAAACGGGTTTCTCGTTATTTGTTCTATTTGCATCGAGTCTCCGCCGCGAAGCAAGGACACGCGATTTCGTTGCTTGCGAGGGCCGAGCCCGCCCTCCTCCTGGCAAAAAGTGAGTGACATAATTTTTTCATGTACGCGGTTATGATGAGGAAAGGGAGAAATATATATGTGTGTACATGTGTGTATATATAATTGATAAAATATATTTAAAATTATTCAAAGATATTATACGAATGTGGACGGAGAACGAGGTAAATGAAGCGCAGAAAGGTTATGTTGACGAGGAAATCGAGAATCGGATGATGTGTAAATGCAGGAATGGTTGATAAGTGGAATGGCGTAGATTGTACATATATATACATATATTCGGCTGACAGACGGACAGACAAACAGACGGAGAGAGCGAGAGAGAGAGAATTGTCTTTTCGCGAACAAGTATAAAATTGCGGAAATACAAATAATTTCTGTCGAAAATCGGGTAACACGCGCGGCGAAACTGTATTCGTTATAAATTGAAGGATCGAACGGTGCGTAAATGTCGAAATGAATATGAAGTGATATGAAGTAACAGGCGGAGTGACGTAATATTTGCGAGCGCGGGGAGAGAGAGAAAGAGAGAAGTTGTTATTGGCGGATAGACCATCTGACATTTATAATATCTATCGGAGCAAGTAACAGACAGACGATAAAAAAAGAAGGAACGAACGAGAGATTAAACCGATGGAATAAATTAACGGATGAATCACGGTTGGGTGAAGAAAGTACGTGCGTGTGTGCGTTTGTGCGGAATTGCGAATATGTAACAATAGTGAAGTTAAAGGCAGAAAAAGACAGACAGAGAGAGAGAGAGAGAGAAACTGCGTGGGTTTATTATTTCGGGTGACTTTACCGTCGAATAAAAAGAGAAAATATATAATAGAACGATATATCGAAAGGGGAAAAAAGGACAGAGTGACACTGAGTGCCGATAAAAACGTTAAGTGGCATAATTGCGCGCGAATATAACGATCCGCCTAAGAAGCCTGCAAACAGAATGACGTGGTAAAGTTAAGTTAGAGAGGGAGGAGGGGAGGATTTATTTTCGTCTTTCGGTAAACCCGATTCGAAATAAGTGAAAAAAAGATGCTACGATGCGTTCGTTGATTTGTTAAAAAGAATAAAGTAAATAATTAAAGAATATTTGAATTGTAAATTCAATATTCATCAATATTCAATATTAAATAATCTGGAATAAAATGGTCACTTGTCAGAAATGATTTTTTTTTTGCGCGTTAAGAATTGCATTGTCAATTCTATCGCCTGATACATGCCAATGATTTTGCAAATAATTAATTGAATTCAATTCCTTCTTACAATGTTCCGTTACGCGACTTGAGAGTGTTTATCGTAAATGTTTAGGTTTATTTCCCAATTTTAAGTTACTCCGACTTCGGTATATCGTCTTGGAAGCGAAAGGAATAAAAATTTCTGTATTTGTGCTAGATAATTTTAAAGTAACTTTATAATACGTGCGACACACTTCGCATTAAAATTCCCTCTGTGCTTGGAGACATTTCTTGTCACCGCCAATTTAAACAGCGTTTGCTCTTTCATTGTAGATTGTGATTTCGTTTATATGTATATATAGTACGTGTGCACATACACAGGCTACCGATATTCACTTCAAGTATTAAAAATTTTTAGTTTACGTAACGTATCGGAACGCAGCCTTTATTTACATACGGTTGAGTTAATCAAATTTACGATGACAATACAAATCCCAGATAGCATGCATGTCTAAAAGATGTCGTAAAGATGTCTTTTAGACACGCGTGTCTAAAATATGTCTTTACGACGTCTTTCAGACATACGTGCTGTCTGGGATATATGATTTTTCCATTGCACGACAGCTATTAATTTCTGCAAGTTAGGAATTCTTAGTCTCTAGGACTAGAGAGTCCTGGAGACTCTCTAGTCATAATTAGATATGCGAGTTATTGACATTTCTAATTATGACTAAAAAGCTCTAATTAACTATGGAAATTGTTTCAAAATGTACAGTATTAATGCGTTAAACGCATTATCCTAAAACGCAAGAATATTTGATGAAATCTTATTATATGAATACTTGAAGGATGAGCAGGACAAAGGAACAAGCGGGTTCATCCAAGTCATCGGGATCCGCAGGCTCTACGGAGGAAAAAGAGAAGGATGAGAGGATGTTCGAGTGCAATATTTGTTTGGATACCGCGAAAGATGCAGTAGTCAGTATGTGCGGCCATCTGTTCTGGTAAATATTTGATAACGTAACGTGTCAAAGAGTGAAATATTACCTGTAATTTGAATGATATGATTGATAATAATGCAGTTGGCCGTGTCTGCACCAGTGGCTGGAGACTAGACCTACTAGGCAGGTTTGTCCTGTATGCAAGGCTGCTATAAGCAAAGAAAAAGTCATTCCATTATATGGACGTGGAGCTACAAAGCAAGAAGATCCAAGGTATAACTTGTTTTTTTTCTGTCACAATTAAAAAAATTAATTATTGCGTCTTTTTATTCAAGGATTATGTAAACAAATTTACAATCAAACTCGAACAAAAACGCCATTACGGTCGGAGATAGATCTTTAGTAACCTAGTATTAAAAAAATTTACATGTGTAATATTATGTTAAATTATAGGAGATAATTGTTTTATTACCATTGCTTATTATACCTGTATCTAGTATATTGATGCATTGGTGGCGTGCGAGCAGTGAACTATATACTGTAATACTGTACTGAAACGTGAAAGTTCGTGCTGGCGCCCGGGCACCAAGAAGAAAAAGACGGATTAATTGGTTTCTGTCTGTTTAGCGAATTTTAATCGGTCAATGATATTCTATTATTTTTGTTTCCTTGGAATATGCTTTGGTCACAAATAAACGGCTCTATAGTTCACTGCATGAGAGTCGCCCCAAGGATGGGGCTTGCGTTCGATCACGTTTAAGTTGACGGGAGACGCTTACGTTAAGACTAAGATTTTATGTTAAGATAACGTTGCGTGTGTTATCGCAAATGAGTTTTGTTTTGTTTTCACCTGTATGCTGTAACAAGCTATTTTGAAGGGCTTGGCCTACAAAATAATATAAGTTTAATTGGTGAAAACGATTTTTGTTTCAGGAACAACGTGCCACCGCGCCCGGCCGGTCAAAGGTCAGAGCCAGAAGCCAATGTCGGTTTTCCCGGCTTTGGTTTCGGCGATGGTTCCTACATGTCGTTCGGCATTGGCACTTTTCCGTTCGCTTTCTTTACGTCGACTTTTAATTTCGGAGAAACACGACCAAGCGCAGGTAACACTTGTCATAAGTTTAAGGGGAATGGTACAATTGCGAGATGAACTTATCTTCGTGTTCCTGTTTCTCATATATATGAGACAATAATTGAGAGGTAATGTATAAAAAAATTAATTTATTTCCAGCTCCCAGAGGCACACCGCAATATGAGGAAGATCAGTTTTTATCCAAGATATTTTTGTGGTTAGCGATAATATTCATCTGCTGGCTGCTGATGGCATAACATTGTTTCTAAATCACATACCAGTCTGCTCCATAATGTGTAATACTTTGTCTTATGATATCCTGTTGGTTCGTGATAATCGCAACATTGGTATTGGTTTCCACGTGGCTCTTGCAAAGTCCTTTAAAGCTCCTGTTCATTCACTGCCTCCATCTTTGATTGATGACGTTAGAAGTCAAAAAATATATGAAAATTTTTGCAACGTAAGACATTATTAAAATAAAAATATTTTTCTATTGAATTTAATTAAAGCATTTGTAATCGATGTAAAATAGACTTGTAAGATATATCAAAAACTCCCTTTTTGTTTGGAAAAATGATGTAATAAGTATTTGGATAAATAATGTAATAAGTATTGCACCCCGAGAAGAATACTGTCAACTGAAAAATTTCGATTTTGACTTATAAGCCTATAAAAAGTATATAATATTACCTACGTGCTATAATAGTCTCACAAGTCTATGCAAAATCCGCTTATCCGCTGCACGAGGCAAAGGTGTCGTTAATCTTTTAAACCGGTTATCTATCCGTTGAGGCAGCACTGGTGGGAGGGCGTCATTTTTCATGTTAATGCAATGATTTTGTGTTTAAAATAATTGCCGTAATGTTAAAATATATCGAAACTCCCATTTTGTTATAATTTAATATGTGACGGTAAATATTTACTTCAATTCAGCAGTTGTCAAATAAATAAAACAGGCTGTTTGACAGCTGCTGAAATAAATATTTACTTTTACATATTAAGTTTTATAAAATAGGAATTTTCGATATATTTTAACACCACGACAATTATTTTAAATACAAGATCACTGCACTAACACGAAAAATGTCGCTGTATGTACGTTGCAAGAATAATTTAGCTTTTTAACATCATTTTTTTATGCCTGACAGTTCACAATTGACATTGTGCGCACTATGCGGACTTGGCAATCGAGCCAGCAGGAGCTTTAAAAAAAAAAAAAAACAACAGAAATATATGAAGTTCGTTTACGCGTGTCCCAAACTGTACGAGTAATGTCCATTTCTACCAATGTAGATTGACTTTAATCAGTTTAACTTACTTTTTATTTTTTTTTTTTCTATTTCTTACAACTAGAAAAGGATAAAAAGTAAAAGTTAATCTGTATTGGAAATGGACATAAAAAAAAAACTCGTTTCTTCCTATTTTAGAAAAGAGGAAGAAAGGTACATCGAGTGTTTTGTCCATGTAAAATGTTTTACACGGTTTCGTTGGCATTTGTATACTTCGAATGGGATGATTCCTCTCCCATTTGGATAATTCTGATATTTTGATGTCACTTTTTTATGTACATATTATATATATTATTATTATTATTATTATTATTATTATTATTATTACCCATAGAGGGAGTGCGTGCATCTGCTATAATATTTAAAGTATAAAAATGTATGACTTAAGTGAATACGCAGCGATGGGAAGATATTAATGTAGATCGTTAAGATAAATCGCGGGTTTGTGAGAAACTGCAAATTTGAACAGTGTGTATATAATAAATCAATAAACAATATATATATACATACCTGTGTGTGTATAATTTTGAGTTTAAATAAAAATTGCGTACGCATTTAAACAATCTAATATATTATGGAATATTAATAATATATAGTATATACATTGAAATATAACGGGACGTAAAAAATGGATTCTTACGAGACTATCAGTAGTAATTAATTTATTCATAGTTCTTTCGTTCAATGATGTTCAATTTTATTCTGCTGTGATTCTGAGGTCTTCTTAAGTCTATTTATATAGTCATTACTCAAATCTCATTTCAAAAGCACATTATGTAAGATACTCAAAATGGAGTTTTATGTTTCGAGACGTGGACAGTTCAACAGGTCATATTTTGATTAGAAATCAATTGAAACTACTCGGTTGAAAAACGAAATGGCACATAATGAATGGCAAAAAAAATGGATCGAGTTGTGTAAACGCAAAAGAAACATTTTATCTCTTTTGAAAATATTTTATTAGAGAACGTATAATAGATCACAAAAATATAATGAAAACTAAAAAAAAAAGTTTTATAAAAAATAAAGAGACTTGTGGGTGAAAATTTCAATTGCTTTCAATATTAGTAACCCTTATTAATAAAAAAGTAAAACAATTTAAAAAAAAAAATCAATATTTATTATCTGATATTAATTCCAATATCAGTAATCTAATATCACTAATATTACTGATCAACTTACCATGTATGTACATACATACATTGGACACAGAAAAACAATTGCAACAACTAGGTTAATTTAAAGCAGTGAAAGAGCACCAATATCGAATTGCAACAGATGGAGAAGTGATTAGAGATGCATAAATAGATCTCTATGATTGAATCACGTATCCACATCTACTATATAAAATCCTATCCATAAATGATTCGGATAACGTACAAATCGACGAACATAAAACATTTTTTTTTTAATATTCACAAAATTCATAAAAGAGGTTTTTATGCATAATTAAGAGTTTCTAAAGAAACTTTTGTAGAGTACACTATTAATACTATTTAAACTCCAATTAGTTGATTTAATAATTATATCAATAACCTAATCTGTTATTTCTTAATTTGTTTGGTTATAAAAATTTTGTAGGGTTAAAGAATTAGTAGAAATGAAGAATATAATGTAATTAATGGGATCTGCGGGATATCGCACTGTGCAATGTTCCATCCTATTTTAGATTTGGCATCTATCACAGACTGCAGCTCTTCGAGAGAAGCGCTCACCAATATAATGCACCGAAAATCGCAACTCGATAAAAGCAATTTACATAGATCAGGAAATTACTGCTACTGTACACAATATAGGTTACTCTCTTGGAATATTAACAACAAACAAAACTATTGTATCTTTATGTCTACGATGTACATAGAAATAAACGATCAGAAATTATTTATTTTTCCTAGAGATAATTATTACGATTAGTTTTGATAGAATGCTGCTTCTCACAATATACGCCAATTGGAAGATTTACATCTCCTCCTTATCTCTCATGAAGCCTTTGGAGACTAGCAAGTCATTACATTCTTTTCGAGTCAATTTGGACAACCCGTGTCTCTCTAGCTCCTGCAACATTTTCAGAAATTAATAGTAGGATATTACGAATTATAATTATGTTAATATTTTCTTTTTATTATTAAACCTTTCCACGTGCGTTCAATAACACGAGTTCTGGTATTGCGCCTGGAATATGCTTGAATTCCACATTCTCGCCACTGTACATACGTGTATTAAGGAAAAAAAAAGTAATATATAGTTCGATGGAATCTTGATTGAATTTGTTTAGTCTTTTATTTTGCTGTTATTTTGGGGAATTTATAAACTTTTGGGAAAATTATACATATCTTATATTAAAAGATTACTATTTTTAATAAATTAGGAGCATTAAAATATGCAAAATATGCATCTGTATGCTAGATCTTTAGAAAACACATAACACGCAATTTTTTATATATCTACATATAAAAAGTTAACTTTACCTATCTATCAACCTTCAAATTGTCAATGTTGTTTTAAATTATTTTTCATGTATGTGTACGTATGTAACAAAAATAAAAAATAAGACAAAATGTGTAAAAATGAATAAAATAAGTATTTTACGTCAACTGTCACTAACAATGCAGTTGACAATAAATTATAAAAATGTATAAATAGAAAAACAAGTTTGCTATTATAAAGGATACTATTGCGGTAGGTCCTCGAAAATAAATTTCTTGACATCCGGCAGCCGATTGAGCGAGCAACCGCTACAGCTCTGGAAAACAAATAACGTAAATAACGTTTCCTCGTGTGTCACAAGGAAACCGGTCCGTACGAGATGTGATTACAATTTCTCAATACATAAAACATCATTTAATTACTCTTGTAGCAATTGTATATCGCAATTATAATACAGAAAAATCGAAAGTCATGCGTTCTAATGAGCGATATCCGATAAGACATCACGTTGATTTAACATAAAACAGAAACACGTTACCTCGACTCTCGCAGACGCGTAAGAAAAATCGTCCGCGGCGTCCGTGGAATTCGCGACGGAAACAAACGAAAGTGCGAAAGCGACTGTAATAAATAACAGACGGTAGCTAACGATCATGGTGGATGCCATGTTTGTCATTCGATTGAGAATTCAGACGTAATAAGGCCGGTTCTACAATACGTCGCGTCGTACGTCGGACGTCGGATGTCGGAACAGGCAGCCGGATGGTCCAATGAGGAAAATTCGTTTTCGAAAAAGAAATTCTCTCATTGGATCATTGGCTGCGTTCCAACATCTGACATGTACCTAAAAGGAAACGGAACCGGTTGCTTCTCTTTTTTTTTTAGAATTTTAGATTATTGACAGTGAGTTTGTATATTTTGACGAACGAGTTACGCTCTTTGCATTTCTTGATAAATATTTGCTCATTGGAGCTGAATTCTCTTGTTTTTTTTTCTTTTGTAAGATTATAACAGTCTTTTTATTTAAAATAAAGAAGTAACTTAATTTACAACAAAAGTAAATTTGAAACAATTAATTTTGAATGGCTGCATTTAGTAGAAAAAGCAATTTAATAAGTATAAAATGCAATTGGATAATTTTCTTTATATAATTATATGATTAGATTAACTTTGATCTTGGTTTAACTTACCATTTATCTTTCTCCAATTTCAAGAACTAGAAAAAGATGAAAAGTAAGTTTAACCGCGATTAAAATGATAAAAATTAATCTACATCGATAAAAATGGACATAAAAGTGCAGGAAATAGGTCCGTTCGGATTGTTCTATTTATCTGAACTTCTTGCGCAGTTTATCCTGTCTCTTTTTCTCTCCAACGTGAAAAGAAAAAGAGAACAGATGAACCGTGCAAAAAGTTTAGCTGAAAAAGAGGCTTGTTCGCGTTGCTTGAAATCACCAAACATTTTTGCACTTGAAATGAGATAAATATATATTCGGCCGTTGAAGAGAGAGAAAGCGAAAATGCTGAGTGCAAAAAGTGCAAGCAACGCGAACAGACCCAAGGAGTCGCGCCGTAAAAGGAACAGACTTGTCGACCCTCGCCGTAGCTGATTGGTCACCCGCGACGCGTCACACTCGGCTCGACCAATGCCGCCGAGTCTGGCTCGAATGCGGCTACTCTCCGAGAAAATCTTCTGTCGCGCGCTGGATTGTCATGACAAGTAGTAACGCCAGTGTAGTCGTCTCCATTTTCGCCCCTTCCTCACGCAAGTTTCCTGCTCCGCCAGCTCCGCGCGCACGTCCTGGCGTCACGGGCGAGGGGACGTGGTCGCGTTCTTCCAAAAACGAGGGAAAGAGGAGAGAGAGAGAGGAAAAAAAATCGGGCGAAACATTTTGTCAAAAAGAAAGAGTGGAGGAGGAAGCGTCAATCGTGGCGGTGGCGTCGACACGAGATACGAAACGGCGACAACAACGGCGCGCGTGGATGCCCCGTCGGGATTTCCACCTTGCGGTAGCACCACCAGCACCCAGCGTGCATGTATAAGCAGTATAAGGACGCGCTTGCCGACGAGGTAAACAAGAATGGACGTGGAAGAGGGTGAGGCGAAAATGTGCAGGCTATGCGGCCAGTACGAGAAGATCTACATCGACGTGTTTGGGGAGGAGGGTGTCAGACGCTACCTCGGCACGAAGATACACGAGAAGATCAACATCCTGGTGAGTCGCGGTTACTCGTCGCGCCTGGACGCTTCGCTTCACGCTTCTTTTCGCCGACCCGGTCATAACCCTATAGGGTTAGAAAAAATGGCTATGAGAGAAAGGGAGACGATCTTTTTCCTTCCTTGCTATATGATGGTTTTTCTTGCTTCAAAACAGCATGCTTATTTATAAGTACGCAGCGCATCTTGTTTGCTTGTAGCATGCTCGGCTTGTCTTTCACGTTTGTTGATCCCCAGGGAGCATTTTTTCCCCCAAATTCAGAAGCATCGATACTTTTTGGTCGAATTTGATCCCTAAGTATTAACATAATTAATTACTATGCTTGCTTTAAAATAATTGTGATTTTAAACAATTAATTGAACTAATTTTATTAACAAGGGTTTGAAGCGATGAGGTTTGTGTAATTCATGTTGAATTGTTAATTTTGTATTAACTGGTCTCTTGTTTACTACATAACTTCATCAACAGCTTTTTTTTTCTGTGAAGAAATAAACATTTTAATTAATTAATATATTATAATGATCTGCTTTTATTTAAAGATAGACCTTAAGTTTCAAAAAGAGATTGGAGGATATTGTCATATGTTGGAAATTGATATTTAATAGGAGCTTTCTCTAGCGAGTTATACACTCATCGAGCGGCAAAAGATTTCTTTATATTTGCTCCAATATCGCAGTTAAAAATAGACGTTTAATGTGTGTTCCTTCATCAACGAGATTCTCATAGAATCTCCCGTGGAATTTCTATCGCTACTGTTCGAAAAAGAAATTATTAATTAATACACAGAGAAATATCGTGTTTATATTTTCATGTGCGAGTGTTTGTAAACGTGCCATGAGATTATTGTACAAGTTAATTTTTACATTTGTACAAATTGTTTGGGCGAATTCTTTGGAGAGAAGATTAATGAGCTTTATTTAAAATTGTAAGTAATGAATATTGTATCTGGGTAAAAATTATATATTTAAGTTTGTTGGTAATTCCAGGCTTGGATGTTGTCGTAGAACTTTAGTGGGTACCAGAATGTAACGATATATTTATATATTTGTCACAAATTGTTGTATCTATAGAGCAGAGCGGTAGTATTTACGTAATTAATATTGTAAAAAGAAGGAAAAAGGAAAAAAAGAATTAATGAGGCCTAATGTCGCTTAATAATGTTATATCTTCTTGCAAGTATATCACGAGTACACTTCTCAAAACTTAGATCACTTTTGTTTGTGAATCGCAGATAGATGAGAAGGATCCTCTGCCCAAGGCGATCTGTGTTCAGTGTCTGGGCAAGCTCGAATTCGTTTGCGACTTCCAAGAAGAGTGTCGGCGCACCCAACAGGTGTTACGCGATCAGTACAATCTACCACCGTTAACAGAGTCCGTAAGTCTCTGTACTTTGTTTATACTTCATCTACCGCTCTACTGCTCTTTTATCATGCTGTTTTATCACAATCAATCCTATCTTATATCACAAAATTTCATGACATGAATATAAATTTCAGTACTGCGAAATAATAAACGCGATATAATAAAGTCCATATACATGTATAAATAGGAAAATAAAATTTAACAATTTATAAGCAAAGTTTTGCAAAAATATATTTTCTTTTTTATTTCTTTTCTTTTTTATTAATTGTTAATCAAGTTGTTAATATATAATTTTGATAAAGTCGAATATTCTTGTATTAAAATTATCATATGTATTTTTTATTCATACTTATTCTTTATTATTATTATTATTATAAATGAAAAATGAGTCAATGTAAAATATTTGCATAAAATGTTAATATTATGAATATCTGAACGAAAAACGATTAAATTTTTTCAATTGCTTGTAAATTCACCCACATTGTTATCAAAATAGAGACATATTCTGGTACCCACTTCTAATTCGATTTCTCTCCAGACAGAGGTAAAGATTGAAGAATCAACATCGCCGGTGGGCACGTCGTCGTCGGATAATAACAACAGTATTGAAAAGAATCTTAATTCCACCGGAAGCAGTCAGGCTGAGGAGAATCATGTTGAAGTAGTCAAGGATTTGGAACAGCCGAAAAAGAGAAATACGTCTCCGAAGATTTTGAGAAGCCTTCGCAGTCAGCAACAGCAGCAACAGGTTTCCAAGTGCAACGATAAAGCCGCAGAAAAAAATGCGCAGACTCAGAGTACAGAAACATCGCTGACTCGTTGGCTCAGAAGCAGGCAAAGCGCGGATTCGTCTGTAGTGGACCTCGAGGAGATTCCGATCGCAAGTCGATTAAGGAGTCACAACAATAACGTCGAAAATAACATCGGTACACGTTCTGCGAACAACAACAATATTAGCAACAACGAGAGTACGGACAAACAGAGCAACAGTCCGAAGCAACAGCACCTGGATTCATCAGCGACGATTCAGTTCCCAACCTCAGCTTTGAATAAATTATTGACGATTGTTTCTAGCTCTCCCGATATCGAGGTCTCGGTAAAGGAGACGAGAAATCGGAATAATGACGCCGAGGATATTAGCTTCACCGTCGAGCTGTGCAAGAAGCAAAACGATGAGGTGTCGTCGGCGCGAGCGCGGGTCTTGCCCGATCAGGACTATTGTCTAGTCGACACGGCGATCGTGGATCTGCTGCAGAGCGAAAACAGCGCGGAGGTGAACGGCATTGTCAACACCATCCTTAGCAGTACGTCGCCGAAGAACAGCAGCGCGGCGGCAAAGTTGAAAAATTTAGCGGAGTTGGAGCAACGGTTAGAAGCCACGCAGAACCCAGAGGACCTCTTTAAGATCGACGGCGAGGAGATTAAGGTGGACGACAACGTGGAGCACGTTGTAAATGAAACGCAAAACGGTTACGCGTGTAAGCTCTGCCGAAAGTTTTACGAGCGCCGAGACAAATGTACGGTTCACGTGAAAACGCATCTCGGCATCAAGCAGTATACGTGCGTTGTCTGCAACGCCAAGTTTGTTTGCAAGTCTGACGTGATGAAGCACATCCGATGCTCGCATACCAATCCTAGGCCCATACAATGTCCCAAGTGTCCTAAACGATTCAAATCCAAATTCTACCTGGCCGAACACGACAATGTTCACAAAGGTGTGCGGCCGTACAGTTGCGCGGACTGTGGGCAGAGTTATCACCACAAGGTTTCGTTGCAGATCCACATGAAGTCGCATCTGCCGCCGCAAAATCTGGCCTGCGAATATTGCGGCAAAGTCTTCCCATTTCGCACGAGATTGCTCGGCCATATCGCGAGTGTTCATATGAAAAAACGGCGCAATTTCCGATGTCGCTTCTGTTATAATCTTTACTCGAGTCTGTCGGTGCTGAACGAGCATATCAAAACTCGCCACGCGACCACGTACACGTGCGAGACATGTGGCAAGACCTTCAAAGTCGCTTCCAAATACAAGGCGCACGTGCTGCAGCACTCCAATCCCAAGCCGTTCGTGTGCAACGTTTGCAACAACCGTTATGCGTCTAAAGCGTTTCTAAACGAGCACTTGTTGAAGCACGAGGGTTTGCGTAAACACGTGTGCCAAGAGTGCGGCGCGAGTTTCGCACAGGCGAGTCATTTGGCCGCTCATCGTCATGTACATGGGGAAAAGACGCACGCGTGCCCGGAATGCGGTAAAAAGTTCAATCGTCGCGACAACATGAAGGTGCATCGGAAACGGCATTTCGACGAGAAGAAGCCTAGCGCGACTGGCAAACAGAAGGTTACATCCAACAATAACAACCTGACTGCCTTTACCACGTCCGTTAACGAGAAATAATGACGGAGTGGCGCTCACAACAACAACAACAAGATAATCACTGGAGAGGAGAAAAGACTATAGAGATCTGTACAAATCTCGTAATAGGCTGAATCAGAATTTACGAGGAATTGAAGAAAGAAGGGAAGAATCCGAGATTGAATACTTGACAAAAGTATTTCGGTAGAAGATTGCTCAAAGATGACAGCCTTTGCGTATACACAATTGGTGCTTCGATGAATTCCCAAACGTCATTCCTTTTATCTTTAGCAATACAACCAAACTCTCCCCCTCTCTTCACCTATTCTTAACTCGTCGGGACCAATCTCTCTATGCTTAACCCTTTCCCTCGAGCCCGTTCTTATTTTAATAGTACATACATGGAATGAAAATGAAGGGTAAGGGGAAAAACGATAAAAGTTTACTTTTTGTTAAAATTGATCTGATTATTCTATCTTGTAGCATCAGTTTCAAAGAACTTTCATAATTCTTATCTATTTTGATAAAGAACAGTTACAAATAAAGCTGAAAGATGTACCATGTTGGGGTACAAAAAATGATCATAATCCACACGCTTGTAGTGAAGAATCTGTTAGAGTTCATCATAATTCCAATATAAACATTAAGTAAATACTGCGTTCCGATATTCACTAAATTTTGTACTAATTTTTTCAATAGCTAAGATATTCGAGATGTATTAGGACTTGAAACGTTTTTCTCGAAATTACTCCGCATGGACATTGATCGTTTTTTCCTTGTATCCTTCAAATGTTGATCGCGACAAGTAAGGTAAATGTTGATCGCGACAAGTAAGGTAAATGTACCAATGCCTGATTACGTACCTATGTCTGGACATTTTTATTATTTTAGTCCTTAAATAAGTTATAAGTTGAATTAAAGCCAAAGAATCAAAGATAAAAATATTTTTCTTATATTACATTTTTATCTTTGATTTTAATTCGTGTTATACTTATTTACAAACTAAAATGATAAAGGTGTTCAGAAGACATAAGTCTTAAGTGTTTCGACATTTACCTTAATAGTATACACGCACGGTACTTGTTATTTGTCATTTATTTTCTTACTCTGTGGCTGCGTTCCGATGTAACCATGTAATTACATGACGAATGTAAAAGTAGCGAAAGAACAGGGGAATATGTTAAAAATACGAAAGCGGAGACGAAGTTTTGACGGTAAAAAGTAAAAGATATTTTTTAGTACCATGCGATTTCAAGTGACAAATATTACAACTGCCGTCATACAACGGGATTCCTATATTTTCTTCGACAGATTCTGTGGCAAATATTATTTCGAAATTCTAAACCTAATTAAAAACTTTACGTACGCATACGTGTCGGTGTTCCTTAAGAAGTCAAGAATATGGAGGTGTTAAGAATAGAACGGTTATAATACTAGTGAAACGTTTTTTTCTATAAGTGTTAAATCTTAGTATTATTTTCTACAAAGATTACACTAATTTTCTATTCACGAGTAAAACTTTGCGATATTCTGTCTCTCTTTTTTTAATTTGGATAATTGAGATTGTCGAGTTTGGGAACGTTAGAATTAATCTTTTCATTCGAGCGTTTATGTAGTAAATATTAATCTATCGTATACCGAAACCGTGATTTAGTTTAGCCTGTAATGATATACGCGTTTTTTTTTTACCGTGGACCTAGAAAGATTAGATTCTCATTAAGGACTGATTGAAGAACATTAGTGTGAAACTTCTAAAAGGTATCTGAACTTTGCTAAGAGAAATTGGTATAATAATAAAATAAAGGCTGTTAAAAAATAATATAAGATACGTAATGACAATCAGGAAAGGAAATCACACGAAAACACACGTCATTAGTGCCCAAGAAAAGAACTGGATGTGTCCAAAAACCGAAAAACATGCTCGGTTGACAACACGTTAATTACCCTCATGAAAAAACACGCCTTTTTATAATACTTCCCCTCCTCATGAATACAGCAAGTCTTTGAAAAATGTTTATTTTGTAATATAGACAATACACGTTCACCGAATTACAGCCAAAAGTATGATTAATCGAATAAATGCATAGTTTCATTAAAAAATTAATGACTTAATACGTATGTGTGTGTGCGTGCGTACATGGTGTGCGTGACACCAGGAACAGGGCTTCCAAAATTGATAATATAACGAGAGCGGCGATATTTTCTATAAATCTTTACACGTGAGATTCGTATGTGAAAAATTTTCAACGATTTTCAATATCTTTTGGAGTACATTTTATAATAATTGTTATATTAAGAATAAAAAAGCGTTACATATAGACGTTTAAAGTATTATGTATTTTATAAAAACGTGTAATTTACTTACACATACACACTAATACGAAACTGCGAAAGAAATATAGCAAGTGCCTTGATTCAAGTCTTCGATGTTATAAAGTAATCTAGGAAGACAAAATAATTGCAATTAATAGGAGTATTATGAGCTATTTTTAAGTAGAATAAATGGCGGCAGCAAGAATGCAG